AATGGGAGAATAGGAAAAAAGTAGAAATGGAGACAGGATGATCACTGAACACTGAGATACAGCTTGGTAGAAATCCTGATGTACTACCATGCAGTACGATGATTATCATTACAGCAGTGTCTTATATATTTCAAAAATCCAGAAGAATGTACTTTTGAAACTTTACACAACAAAGAAATTTCCAGTGGCCATGTCAGAGGATCAGCAGGTGGCAATCAACTTCAGCAGACTGGCCCATGTCCCACTAGGATGCATGGCACTGATGGGTGAATCTAGGATAGGCAAGGCTCTAAAACACTTGGCCCCAGAAAGTCTCCTCCTACTATTGAGCATTTGCATGTTTCTTGCTGCAATTTTTCTGTGGTGTTTGGCATAATATGAATGGGTATTGAGAACTCGTCACTGCCTTTAGTATAGTGTGATTATTTCATGGATATATCCCATTCTATTGGACATTTTCCTGTGTATTTTTATGAAGATGATTTCCTCTTAAGCTAAACTCTTTAACTGAAGCAATGATTTTATACAATAATAGTGTCAGCTTAAATAAAATTTTGATGATTGAGGGTCTTTAGTAAATATAGTAAGGTATTATGATATAGGTAAGCTTAGTGAGAAAACTAGTACAGGTAAAGAGCAAGCTATGTTGTTGCCCCTACCCTTGACAAAGTAGGCTCTGCAGAGGATAGAAAATAAGAACAAGGAAGTGTCACACTTATAGTATCTCTTGAGAAGCCATAAAGACTGTGGCTTATGTTAATGATTAAGAAAAACAAATGAGCAGAAGCCCAGCTAGTTCAAGTTATTTCAATCTTAATATTAGAGATATGTTCATGGGCTTCATTGCATATCATAGCTGAGACATCACTTTAAACGTTAACTGTGATGAAAAGTTGGGGTGGGATGTTTTTATTAATAGCTTTGAAGTAAAAAAAAAACATGGGAAACAATCTAAAGTTTAGAAAGGCACATAGTTGAGTGAGGGACTTGTTGAGATCAAAAAAATAAGGAACAAAGCACCCTGGTTATTATTAGCTGACATGCCTTTCTTTTAGGAGTGGTTGGTGACCAAAGGCAATGATTAATTCCATGTACCGATTTCTTCCCTTGGCTTCCTGATTATATAAAAAAACTGCTGAGGAATGAGTATGTACCCCGAGGATTTAATGTAGAGATGACTGGTGTTTTTCCTATACAAAAGGGTTAATTTGTGATTCTTTTAAGACTTCTTATAAGATTACCTTTGTGATAAAGAATAAAATGATTGGCTCTTTCTTTGTGACTGCAAAATATACCCTGCCAGCAAAAGAACTGGCTGAGGAAAATACATTGTTTGCTTACACTATGTTAATCTATAGTAAGTTCATTGGGTATGAATGTATGTGGGTTCTTGGGACGACTTGCTTTTCAACTGTAGGATGTTTAATCATGCAAGGGATGTGGAAAACATGCTGTTTTCTTTACTTGTGTTAATTGTAATCAGTCATTTGAAAAATAAAATTTAATCCCATTGTAATTTTTATACTGCTTGAGAGATTTTTCTGGTGTATATAATCTGTAAAGGGAAAAATAATGTTAGAAGGAAAACATCAATAGAGACAGAAGGGATACATCTAGATAGAGGTAAGGAAACAAATAAAGAACAGAGAACAGAAAAAGTCCCTAAGTGTGTGTGTGTTTTTCTCTTTATCACTGGCCACAGAGAGTTAAGTTTAATTCCTCTGCCAGGCCCTAGAAAACTAAGTTTTATTCCCTCAGATAGTCAAGTTGAGTGACTAGTATGCCAACCCCATTGGATCCCTCTCAATCACTGAGCTGCTAGAGGCTGGTCTTCATGGCAGCAGTAAGAAATGTTAAAATTTGAAAAGATTACTTTGATGTAAGATTTACATGTATAAATATGTATAAAATAATGACAAAATGCTTCATTAATATATGCAAGATTTATATATTAGACGAAACATTGATCTAGCATGATCTGATAGTGCATATCTAGAATCCTCGTATGTGGGAGGATGAGCTAAGTGTATCACAAGTTCACACCCAGCTTTACCGACATAATGATGTCAGGGTCAACTTTTGCTACTGAGCAAGATATTTCAAAAATCTAATAACATTTGTCTATTGTTATCCTTTTCTTGTTGAAATCATGCTTAGGTAGACATGTTGCTAAGATTTTATGGAAATACTATTTAATATACACAATTAATGCCAGTTAGTTTCAACACTAAACAAAAAAATGACTGACAAGTTATTCTTATTTATATATATGTATATATTTATTATTTTTAAATTTAAATTTAAATTTAAATTAGATACAACGTTGCTTTACATGTCAATTCCAGGTCCCTCTCCGTTTCCCTCCCCTCCACCGTGCTCTCCCACCAACCTGCCCAATATACCCTCATTTCACAAATGAAGGGTGAGGCCCTCCATGGGGGTGTCCATAGTCTGAAATTTCATTCAGGGCAGGGCCTAGACCTTCCCCCAAGAGTTCAGGGTGAGAGTGCAACCCTCATTTTTGGATGGGAGTCCAAAGTCCATTTGTATACCCGGGATAAATACTGATCTACTACCCAAGGCTCGATAGATTACCTAGGCCTCCTCACTGACAGCCACATTCAGGGGGTCTAGATCAGTCCCATGCTGGATTACCAGGCATCAGTCTGGGATTCAAGAGCTAAGTACCATGAGAATGGCATATAACTCTGCGTTTTGTACAGAGTTGTAAGGGCTTTGAACTACTTTACTTATTTTTCCTGATTTATACCCTGCCTTACCTGATTTGTTTGCATCTGTGTAGAAGGTAATAACTCCAGAAATAGGTGTTTGCCTCACGATACGTGGAAGAATCCAAACTGTTTTCTTTATGAATTTGATTCTCTCTGTTTTGGGATAGTTATTACTAATAGCTCCCAAAAAGTCACTGCAAGCTATTTGCCAATACTCATTATCCTTCCATAAGGAGGAAATTTCTTCATTCGTTAAAGGTACAATAATTTCAGCTGGGTCTTTCCCAGTCAGTTGACGAAGCCTTAACTTACCTTTTAATATCAAATCAAATATCTTTTCTAAATAAGTTTTCAATTTTTTATTGTTTATGTGGCAGAAATACCCATTCTAGTATGATGTCTTCCCTCTGCATTAATATTCCTGAAGGATATTCTCTAGATGGTAAAATAACCAGAATACAGTCCAGCTTTGGATCCACACGGTCCACATGTGCTTCTAATATTCTCTTTTCTAGTCATTCTAATTCTTTTTCAGCCTCAGCTGATAGTACTCGTGGGCTGTTTAGGTCTTTATCTCCTTTTAAAGCTATATTCAGGTGTTTTAAATCATGCCCTTCAACACTGATAATTGTCTGTAATTGAGAGATTTCTCCTAATAGTTTTTGAAGATCATTAAGAGTCCGGTAACGCTCTCTTCTGATCTGTACTTTCTGCGGTCTAATTTTCTGAGTATCTATTTTATAACCTAAATAGTTAATAGATTCTCCTCTTTGTATTTTTTCTGGGGCAATTTGAAATCCCCAGCAAAGCAAAGTTTCCTTTACTGCTTCAAACATCTTTTCCAAAGTATCCTTATTTGAATCAGACAGTAATGTGTCATCCATATAATGATATATTAATGAATGTGGAAATTTTTTATGAATTATTTCTAGAGGTTTATGCACAAATATTGACAGAAAGTTGGGCTATTTAACATACCTTGGGGTAGTACCTTCCACTGGAATCTCTGTACCGGATGGGAATTATAGGTAGGTACCATATAGGCGAAATTTTCTCTGTCATTTTCTTGTAACAGTATGGTGAAGAAGCAATCTTTTAAGTCTATAACTATAATTGGCCAATCCCTAGGTATTAGAGAAGGTAACGGCATCCCAGGTTGTAGAGACCCCATAGGCTGAACTACCTTGTTGATGGCTCTAAGATCAGTAACCATTCTCCACTTACCAGACTTCTTCTTGACAGCAAAAACAGGTGAATTCCATGCACTAGTTGATTCTTCAATATGTCCAGCATCTAGCTGTTCCTGAACTAACTTCTCCAAAGCCTCTAACTTCTCAGCTGTCATAGGACATTGACCCACCCAGACAGGTTCATCTGTGAGCCATTTTAAGGGTGAAGCTTTTGGTTGCTCTGTATTTTTGGCAATGGCATCCTGCTTCTGTACAGCCTGTACATTTGGCATCTGTTTTCTGTACTGCCTTACTATATTCTTTCTACCACCAAGAGCCTGTCTGTAATTCCTAGCTGATACAGGAGGAATGTGTTTTTCCCTTTTCAAATGAACTTTTATTTGAAATTACTCTTTTACTCTTCCCCACATGTATTTTAGGATTCTATACTATACAATAACCCACAAAACCAATAACCCAATACCAAAATTTCTAACAGCAAATTATACAATTGTTCTAGGCAATAAATAATGGTTGTCCTTCACTGATTAAGGGAATACTTAAGTTTCTGTAAATTTAACACAAAAATCACACTTTAAGTTTATAAGGTTTAACATGTAACTTCAAATATAACATGTTTTATAGGAATCTACAAGCTTTTAATTCCTAAAAGGTGACTTAATTTTTTAGGTTCAAAGCTACATTCTTCATATTTTCTCCTATAGCTTCAAACTTTCTACACTCAACTATGACTGTTCCATGCCACTCCAGACAAACTTGACATGACTGATCTACTTAAAGTGATCTTCCCCCAAAGGTTAAAAAGCAGTTTGTCATAACTGCAGATTTCTAATGACAGGACATCTACTACACTATCCATCACAAAAGCTTTCAAAGATCATTTTTTTCCTCCTAGTAGGGAGTTAATCCCCTGTAAAGGCAAAGAACCACAAAGTGTAACAATGGGCTCCTTTTTACTCAGATGTTGAACAACTTAAATGACAATTACACCTTTAAGAGTATAACACAGGGTGGAACACAGCAACACAACTGGCCACACTATAGATTAAATAAACCAAGGGGTTTTGTTTTGTTTTGAGGACCAGGAAGCATTGGAAGCTCATAAATCAGACTCAAAAAAGGAAAGGAAAGTCCTTGGCCATAACTGCTTCATTATCAATAGCGTCTTGGGCTGTAGGAACGAGATCTTGACCGTGACCTGTAGCAGCTGTAATAAGGAGATGGCGACCTTCTTCTGTACCGGTAATCATAATCTTCATATCTGTCATAGCCTCGGTCATATCCTCTATCATAGTAAGAATCTCGTCGTCTACCACCACTACCACCGCCGCCTCCACCGCCGCCTCCTCCACCTCCTCCTCCGCCACTATGAGTTGGTCTGCCCATGTAAATGCCTGGTGTGGGCGTGTGTGCTCTCTTGGTGGTAGAATAATCCACACGAATTCTTCTACCATCCAGTTCCATTCCATTTGCCCTTTCCATAGCCTCCTTAGAGTCATCTATCCTCTCAAAATACACAAAAGCAAATCCACGTGACCTCCCAGTTCGCTGATCATAAATCACATTCACACCACTCAACGGTCCATATCGAGAAAATACTTCATGAAGATCTCTCTATGTTGTGTACAAACTGAGGCCAAACACTCCCAGGCAAGTGTTGGGATCTGGATTTGCCCTGCTGCCTGTATGTCTTCTGCCATTAGACATTGGAGAGTGACTCCAACTTCTTCGTCGACAATACTCTGGCGTATAGGATCTACTTCGAGATCGTCTCCTATGAGAATGGGACCTGGACCGACTGTAGCGTCTATGAGAATGCCTCCTTGACCTTGACCTGGATTTTGATCTTGATCGAGAATGGGATTCAGAATGTTTGGAAACCCTTGATGGACTACGAGATCCTGACCTGCTCTCTGATTTTACTCGAGCAGGGGTTCCCGTTGGAGATTTTGACTGAGAGCGAGACTCTCTGCCCTCGAAGTTGTTCTCCTCTACATCACTCATGTCGGCCAGGAGATCCCGAGAGCTAAGTGAGAGACAAGTCTCGGCTCGAGGGCCAATGGCCTAGTCACCCCGCCACCTGGACTGTGGGGAGGAGGAAGGGGGACGGCAACAACGGCCAGGGCGCTCCACTCCCTCTGGCTCGCACCCTCTGGCTCGCACGCTCCAGCAAAATGGAGGAATGTTAATCTGCATATTCCATTGCTGTAATAGACCATGACCCCAGAGGTTTATAGCAATATCTGCAACACATGGCTTTAACCTTCCTCTCTTTCCTTCTGGCCCAATAAAGTCAATCCATCTAACGCTCTGTTTAACTTAAAGGAATTTTAGAAACAAAAGAATGGAGAAAAGCATGGGCATTTTGGTAGCAGCATTTTTCTCAGGGGGGGCTCTGTTTTGCTAGCGACAAGCAGAAACTCACAAGGCTTGCTTAAGGGAGTCTTCCTGACTCAGCATAAGAAAAAAAAGCCAACAAATTTCTTTTAAGGGGCTCTTCTAACGATTGAAAGGTGTGCATGTACAGCTCGAAGTGGCAGTGACCACATCTCCAAGCTGGCAGATTTTGCTGGATGTTAGCATAGACTGAAACAATGAGCTGGAATCATGATTACGCCCCCCCATCTTGGAAAAACTGCAGTTTAAACAGCCGCAGTTTTAACAGATAAGACACGTGGCCAGAAAAACATAAAGATTTACAGTAAAGCCAGACTTGGATGAAGAAAAACCTCTAAAGGTTTACAGTGTGTTTAAAAATATACGTAGAATTGAGAGAGAAAAAGAAATGGCATAGTGGTAAATAGAGAATCCGGCTGTGGTGGCGCATGCTGGTAGGAATTGCTCCGGAGGCAGAGGCAGACAGATTTCCAAAGAGAAACCCTGTCTCAGAGAAATAGATAAAGAAATAAAAGTAAAAAAATAAAGTAATAATAGATAAATAAATAAGCCACGTAAAGATGGAAAATACACAGAGAGTCTGGATACTGTATGCTATTGTGTTTTTCAGTTTTTTGATTGCTCAGGAACAAACAACTGATAAAGTTCACTTGATTATAAATGCTGCTGAATTAATTCAACTTATATCTTTTAAAAATGCCTTGACTTCAAAATTTAAGTATAAGTATATGTTACTTTGGAAAAGAGGTTTTGTTTATGTTTTTACAGAAAATGAAAAGCTGAGGATTCCTTCCAGACTTCTGTGGTTTGATGAACCAAGACCCCCGGAAGCAGTGAAGCAGTTGTTCCAACAATTGCAACAGTTAAGATGATGCAGTCTTAGAGACCCCGAAAATGCGGAATTATACAGGTTTATGAATTTTGTCATGACCTCATGGTATGAACAGCACTCCCTTCCAGCATGAAGCAGTTTGGAATGAGCGACGTCCTAATTCCCATCTTGTTTATAAATCTTTGTTTTCATTTAAATGGGATTGTTTATAATTGGTTAATGATCACAACCAATCTCTTTTTAAAGGAAAAGGGGATTATTGTATGGAAATGAATACTTCATATTGGTATGGTTTTTCATTTATTGAGACAAATTCAAGGTCAATTTTGTGATGTGTATATATATATTTCTCCTCTTGATTAAGTATTGTGCTTATACTGATCTTTTAAAACATAATGCATAATTAAATACAGACTGTAGATATTCACTTATAATGGAATTTATAGTTAGGTAAGTTAGGTTTTCAAGATATATAGAGATGTATTTGAGACAGATAGACAGTCTTCAAACCTTTCAAAGACCTTCAGAAAATGGCATTTAAAATGGTTTAGGGTTTTTCTTGACAATGAGAAATGTCTGCTCCTGGCAACACCAATTATGTCTGAGAGGAAGATGGGCATTGAAGAAACTTGTTATGGAGTTTGCTTTCAACGTGGCAATATTAGCCATTTGGGAAAGAAACTGCGCTTGTCTGGACTGATTAACTGTTGCTGTATAATCTGGATATGCAGGACCCACAGGAAAGTGACTGTTGAACTCAAACAATCCTTCAGGATTCCTGCTTCATGGAAGGGTCTACAAGACTTTCTGAGGACATAGAAAAATGACTGATGGACTGCCAATGCAGATGGACAGTTTGAAATTTCCTGCTTTGCTGAGAAATCTTTTGGACACACTGTGGCCTATGGGCTGAAGATGGATGCCCCAACATTACAGAGAAACTTCAGGTGACTGTCCAGGAAGCAAGATGTCTCTGTCAATCCTAGTGTTTATATATTATCCTTCTGTGGTCTTTGATAGAGTTGAAGGCAGATAGTTATCATTATAGTTTTCCTTAGTTGTGATAAAAGATAAGCTACATATAGAACTTTGGACTCACAAGGATGGGATGGATGATATTTTCTTTAAATCTTGCTGCATGTTGATAGACAAAATATTGTAACTGTGTACTTACTTGATAACTGTTCTGTTACATATAATTTGACTATGTTAAAGTTAAGACCTTTCTTTTTGTTTAAACGGAAAATAGGAGATGTTGGGGAAGTCCTGTGTATATGTCAATAAAGCACTGTTGGCCAATAGGGAAGCAAGATAGGTGGGACTAGTAGTCGAGGAGGACTCTGGGTAGGTGAAACACAGGAAGTCAAGATGTAACCGCATGGGGTAGGAAGCCCGGAAATTTCTCTGGTAAGAGAAATACTTAGATTAACAATTATGGGGTAAATACTTATGTCAGAGCTAGCCAGTAAGAAACAAGTAAGGCCTACAGCTTCATAATTAATATAGCCTCCTGCGTGTTATTTGGGACTCATGCGGCTCTGGAATCAGGCTGGCAGGAAGGCTTCTCTCAAGGAAAACGTTTCCCGTTACAGGCCTACCTGTCTATTTTTGTGCCAATACCAAGCTGTTTTCAGGACTATAGCTTTGCAATAGAGTTGGAAGTCAGGGATGTTGATGCCTCTGGACGTTGACTTCTTGAACAGTGTTGTTTTGGCTAACCTGGGTCTTTTGTTTTTCCTTACAAAATTGATTATTGTTCTTTCGAGGTCTGTGAAGAATTGTGCTGGGATTTTAATGGGGGTTGCATTGAATCTGTAGATTGCTTTTGGCAGGATTGTCATGTTTACTACATTGTTCCTACCTATCCAAGAGCATAAGAGATCTTTCCATTTTCTTAGGGCTACTTTAATTTCTTTCTGTAAAGGCTCAAAGTTCTTGAGCTACAGGTCTTTCACTTGCTTGGTTAGCGTTACCCCAAGGTATTTCATGTTGTTTGTGGCAATTGTAAATGGTGATGTTTCTCTGATTTCTTTCTCAGCACTTTTATTTGCCAGTATTTTATTAAGTATTTTTGCATCAATGTTCATGAGGGATATTGGTCTGAAGTTCTCTTTCTTACTTGTGCCTTTGTGTGGCTTGGGGATCAATGTTATTGAAGCCTCTTAGAAAGAGTTTTGCAAAGACCCTTCTGATTCTCATGCGTGGAATACTTTGAGAAGAATTGGTATAAGCTGCTCTTTGAATTTCTGGTAGAATTCTGCACTGAGGTCATCTGGACCTGGGCTTTTTTGGTTGGGAGACTTTTGATGACTGCTTCTATTTCCATAGAGGTTATAGGTCTATTTAAATTGCTTGTCTGTTCATTATTTAATTTTGGCAAGTGATAGCTATCCAGGAAGTCGTCCATTTCCTTTAAATTTTCAAATTTTTTGGAGTACAGATTTTCAAATATGACCTGATGATTCTATGAATTTATTTAGAGTCCGTTGTTATGTCCCCCTTTTCATTTCTGATTTTGTTAATTTGTATGTTCATGCTCTGGTGTTTGGTAAGTTTAGACAAAGGTTTGTCTATCTTGTTGATTTTCTCAAAGAACCAACTCTTCGTTCCATTGGTTCTTTGTTTTGTTTTCCTACTTTGTACTTCATTGATTTCTGCCCTCAATTTGATTATTTGCAGGCATCTATTCTTCCTGGGGGAGTTTTCTTCTTTTTGTTCTAGAGTTCCCAGCTGTGCTGTTAATTCTCTAGTTTCTTCATGTGGGCATTTAGTGCTATGAACTTCCCCTGTAGCACTGCTTTCAAAGTGTCCCATAGTTTTGGGTATATTGTGTCTTAATTCTCATTGAATTCTAGTAAGCTGTTAATTTCTTTGTTATTTCTTCTTTGACCCAGGAATTGTGCACTTGTGCATTTTTCAATTTCCATGAGTTTGTACGGTTTCTGCAATTTGTGTTGTTGTTGAATTATAATTTTAACACATGGTGATCTGATAAGATGCATGGAGTTATTCCAATTTTTTTGTAGCTGCTGAGGGTTGATATGTTGCCAAGTATATGGACAATTTTTGAGAAGGTTCCATGTCATAGTGAGAAGCAATATATTCTTTTCTCTGTGGATGGAATCTTGTATAGATATCTGTTAATCCCAGTTGGGTCATTACATCTATTAGACCCTTTGCTTCATTGTTGAGTTCCTGTCTGGTATTCCTGTCTAGTGGTGAGAGTGGGGTGTTGAAATCTCCCACTATATGTGTATGGGGATTTATATGTGATTTAAGTTTTAGTAATGTTTCTTTTATGAATGTGAAAGCCTTTGTATTTGGGGCATAGATGTTCAGGATAGACACTTCATCTTGTCGGATTTCGCCTGTGATGATTATATAATGACCTCCTTCATCTCTTTTGATTGATTTTATTTTAATGTCTAATTTGTTAGATATTAGGATTGATACCCCTGCTTGTTTCTTGGGTCCATTTGATTAGAAAAATCTTTTCCCAAACTTTAACCCTCAGTTAATGTCTCTCTTTGAGGGTGAGGTGTGTTTCTTGTATGTAGCAGAAGGATGGATTCTGTCGTCGAATCCATTCTGTAGCCTGTGTCTTTTTATGGGTGATTTAAGACCATTAATATTGAGGGATATTAATGACCATTGATTGCTCATTCTTCTTTGATTTGGAATGGTTATTGTTGGTGGTATTATGTGTGGAATTCCACCCCTTTATTCTTTTGGCTGTTGGTAAAGTGGGATTATCTAATGCCTATGTTTTTCTGGTTGTAGCTAACTTGCTTGGTTTAAATTTACTTCCAGAACTTTCTGTAGGGCTGGGTTAATGGTTACCTATTGCTTGAATCTA